GTCTTTCCCTGTTTCTCCTTCGGGTGTCACTTATAGGGACACTTGTCACTAGATTTAGGGCCAACCTCGATTATCAAGGATTGCTATATCTTGAGATCCTTAGCTTAATTACAACTGCACAGACAGTTTTGACAAATATTACATTCACAGGCTCCAGTGATCAGAACAAAAACACATTTTTTATGGGGCCACCACTCAACACATGAAAAATGGGCAGAAGAGCAACAGGGGGAAAATGTCACTTGTTATTCTCTTTAGTAACATGTCATATTTGGACAAATGCAAAGCTAAGCTTAGAATTTCAATGCCTTAGAAATGAAAAATAAAATTCAGAAAAATGTGGAATTATAGAGACAATTTCATAAACCAGCTAGTGATTCCTGTCTTTAGATTTACCATTAACTTTTTCCAATTTTACACTAGCTGAAAACTTGATCGGCTTATTGTCTGTTTAAAAACTATGCTTTAAAGAGTTGTAGTTCTCCATCACTTTCTTTACTTGATCATTTTTAAGTCTCAGTAGAAATCTTTCTGGTGGGCATTCAATGTTTTTCACATGCTGAAGAGAGTGGGTTTTACATAATTTGACAACTTCCTTTTATTTATTCCATCATCTCTCCTATTTTAAAATTTATCTTATGTATTTGTTCTATCCATTATTTATTGGAATATCAAGGAACCTCTACAAAGTGTTTAAATAACAGCAGCAGGCTCACAATGTTTGTCCATACATACCATCCGTCCCATGAATCTCAGATAGGGTTCTATTAATATTTTCTCCACCTTATATTTCTTTTCTTCATCAACATATTTCTTAAAAAACTAGTCTGGTTTCCATTGTCTCACCTGCCATGCCATTCAGTTTTAACTGTACCTTTGTTTACATACTTAAGAAGAAATATAGCACATCTCTAGGTACTGATCGTAAGTAAGTAAGAGAAACTTGGGTCAATAAAAGTGTGTTATTATTAACTTTTAAAAGATTATTATGACTGTTCAATACTGGCTTTCCCAATGGTCATGGAACTCTTTGTTATTCCTTTCCTCTTACCTTTATGAAATCTCTCCCCTGAATGGTCTCATTCATTCTTAAGGTTCTATTTAAAAATTATTGACTCCTAAATCCTATGACTTGTTCTTCACCTTCATTTTATGCTTCCATAGAATAATTGGCACTCATTATGTGTTTAAACTTTATTGTTCTTTTGTTAGCAGTCTGAAGTTGGTGTGCCTAATTCTTTTGAAAAGCCAAAACTCAACAGAGCTTGGAGGAAGGGCAGGTTTATTAATTGAGAAGGCACCAACTTAGAAGATGGGAAACCTAATATTCAAATCCATTTTACCAAAGTAAAAGTTCAGGCTTCTTTTATGTCAATGGGAGGGGAAATGATTGACCACTGTAGACCTCTGGATATCAGCAGGGCTCCGAGGAAGATTGTGCTGGTCGATATGAGTCCTGTCTCGAGGTTCCTGCAAAGCTTTGATAAACAATATATACTTCCCTTATTTCCTCAATCTGCAAGCAGAATTCTTCTAATGATTAGCATGTCTACGTGTGAGACTAAGCAGAAGGTATTAGCCTGAAGGCCATGGGAACAAAGCAGGCTTGAACAAGATGGAGTCAGAGAGACAAAAGATGGAGTATTTCACTGTTGCACTTTGGTCTTCAAGACATTTTGCTCCCTCTCTGATTTATTTGCTAGCCCTTCCTTCACCTTTGGGCCCCTGGATATATAGACTCTCTCAACATTTATAGTCTTGAACTTCTTTTCTCACTCAACCTTCTACTTTTACGAATAATCTTCATTCCCATGACTTTCAAATTGAAATCTGTTGGTAGATTTTCCCCTAGAATCAAGCCCTGTGTTCCAATCTGCCTGACTATAACCTCCATCCTATTACTTCCTGACCTAAAATTCACCCAGCCTCATTATTTTCCCCCTCAAAGCTAGTTTTTTTTGAACCAGAGTTTCTTATTTGGCAATGGTATTTTTCTAGTCATCCAGATTGAAGCTGAAAAGTGATTTTTAAGATCACATTTCTCCATAAATCTTAGCTAAAAGTAGAGCAGTCCTCTATGGTCTATGAAAGTCCTCATCTTTGAATATCTATCTATTTGTAAACTCCCCATCAGTGTGGAAGAAAGGGAACTATAGTTTCTAAGCCAGATGAAACACAGAATCAACTCTGGAAATCATGGTGTCTAAGAAAAAGGAGAGCACAACCACAATATTTGCATTATTTTTAAAAGTTTCTTTTTATCTGTTGCCTTCAACATTTGGTGAGTTACCAATCAATACACATTTGTCTTCAATGCTCAAAAAAATGGGCACACAGACTGACCTCTAAAGATGTTCATCACAGTTTTATTTATATTAACAATATTAGAAATCTTAAATTCCCAACAACAGAGCATTGTTGGATTTCATTTTACAAATAAAATATGTGATAAATAACCTATAGCAATTTAAATTTTGGTGTAATAGTCTATTAATTAAGTTTAAAAGGTATTTATAGCCATTGTTGAGTTTTTTAAAAGAGATTGAAAAGAACAGTAATAGGATACCCCAAAGAAAAATACTAAAGTCTGTTATTTGCTTCAAACTGTTACCAGTGGATTTCTATGTATAAATGTAATAGATATTTTTTCATCATGTGCCAAGGAATGCTTTAAAAAAAAATGAAACTAGTGACATAGATTTAGAATAGTCTAAACAACTAAAAGAATGCCTATTTTCAAAGAACCATAGAATTCAAAAAGTCCATTAAATATCAAGTTCCAATTCACTTTATATATCTTGTGGCAATTGAAGTTGAGCAATTTACTCTAGATTATATACCTGGTTATGTCAGATGTAGCATTTGAGGTTTCTAACACCATTCTACTAATTCTCACTATTTTCCTATCACTGTTAATATGACAAATGCATCTATTTTGGACAGTTTTAGTATGTGTGAAAATTAATGCATCCTCAAAACTTGAGAATGTTGACTTTTATGGGAACCAAGTAGCATTTTAAAGCAGGAATTTTAAAAAATAATTTGTACTCAAATTTCTTTTTGTCCCTTTTTCAATGGGTAATTACAAGTCAGGATTCTACAGAGAAAAGAACTAACAGGATATATCTATATCCATATCTATATCTATCTATCTATATTTATATATATTTGTTTCTTTCTCTATATAGCTGTATCTATATATCTAGTTAGAAAGATTTATTATAAGGACCTGGCTCACATGATAATAGAGGCTGTGAAGTCCCACAACCTGCAAACTGGAGCCCAGGAAAGCTGGTAGCATACTTCCAGCTCGAGCTCAAAGACCTGAAATAAAGCGAGGCAATAGCATGAGTCCTAGTCCAAGTTCAAAAACACCAGACCAGGGCAGATAATGCTATAAGCTCCATTTCAGGGGTCTGAGAAGACCAGCTTCATAGTCAGGCAGAGGGCAGATTTTTCCTTTTTCTGCCTTTTTCTATTCAGGCCTCCAAAAGATTGGATGAGGCCCACAAACATTGGAGAAGCCAATCTGCTTTACTCAGTCTACGAATTCAAAAGCTCATCTCATCTGAAAACACCTTCACAGACAAGCTGAGAAATAACGTTTAGCCAAATATTTGGTACTGTGTGATTCAGTCAGGTTGACATAAAATTAGCCATTACAGTGGCCTTAAGTCAATTACTTAACTTTTCCTCAGGTACTTTGTCTGAAAATTGGGGGGATGACTATCTATTCCACAGTGCTAGCATCTTCAGAAGAAGCATGACCCTGCCAACACCTTGATCTCAGACTTCCAGCCTCCAGAGTGTGACATGACAAATTTTTGTTGTTTAAGTCAGTTTGCAGCCCTTTGTTACAGAAGCCCTAGGAAATAAATAACACCTGTCTTTCTTAGATGGAGCATTGTATCTCTTAGCGATAATTCTTTACTAGGCCTTAACCATGATCTGTAAGGTCCTATCCTTTGCAAAGTAGGTCCAAAACTGCTCTGGCCCAACTCCTTGTTAACATGTCTCTTCAAAACTTGAGAAGGTAAGGCATCTCCCTACTATATGTGATTCTGGTGCTAGTTTTTCAGTATCTTACTATGCTTCAGCTATTTATACAGGTCATGGGTTGATGGAAGAGATAAGTATGTGGGTGGATGGATGGATGGATGAAGGGAGAGAAAAATCTATTTCTATTACTTACATATACCTGTATCTGTAGCTATCTTACCTATATCTACCATGCTTTTTAATAAGCATAACGCCACAAGCTTTTTTGCCATTTTATCAAAATGTTGCTATAAACATTATTTCAATAAATTGTCATGTTATACTCTCTTATGTTTTTATTTACTAAGATTTTCCAACCATTGCTGTATTTTTAGGCAATCAATGCTCCTTCCCCTTTTTGTCACATCTTTTGAAATAAAGCTTTCCCCCCAATTCAGAATAATTTTTTAAGATAGTATACCAGAAGGTTAATTACTAGGCCAAAGGCTATAAACATTTTTAATGTTCTTGATACTTACTGTCAAATTGCCTTGCAGTAAAACCAGTATTCTTTCCTTTGTGGTTAAATCCCAAGAAAATTATTAGTAGCAAGAGAAGAAAATAAGGTCATGGAGGGTGGTGGGAGTTTTGCTTTTTTATTGCCACAAACAAATAATGAATATTTTCTCATGAAAAAGCTCAAAGCCATGCATGCCGCTTACATAACATGGAGGTAATTCAAGGAATCGCTGGCCTAATCTCTCTGGAAGCCCAACATTTAAATGCAATATAGGGTATTAAATTGTCAGCTCATATACTGCACAGAAGGCATCTCTATCGTCTCTGCTCTCTGGAATGTTTCTACTGACCTGCCCACTTGATTGTTAAGTTCAGAGATAATTTTCAATAAACTGTTGTCACTTGAAAATAAACAGTCTGGACAATGTATGGCCCATTTGGAATACTGGAGAAATAAACAAGCTGGGATATGTCTTCTTGTCTTTGCAGGCCTTTTTGGAATGTGTGCTCCAGAGACTTGACTTTCTTCCCCAGAGCAGAAGATTTGACTTCAAGGAAAGCTGTTTATTTGGCACTTCTGGGCAACCCTTGTTGTGAAGAACTGCAGCGATGGGTCCCTTTGGAGTCTCACTTCAAAGACACGAGTTCATCCTCCTGGTGCTCTTCCTCCTGCAGATTCAGAGTCTGGGACTGGACACTGATAGTCACCCTGCCACTGAAGTCTGTGCCACACACACAATTTCGCCAGGACCCAAAGGTAAGGAAAGAGAAACAAAATTTTCATCTCCAATAAGTAAGCTCTCTTCCATCATCTCTCAACCCCGTGCTAGCTCTTGATGACTTTCTCTTCTCCCCTCCATAGTTTGTCTCACTTTGCTTCTGTTTTGGAAAGCGAATGGCCTATCCTTATCATTTATTTTTAACTCTCCCTTGCTGTGAAGTAAGGAAAATTTAGGACGGGGTGGAAGCCCAAGGAAGGTATGTGATGGAACTGATCCAGGGCCGGGAGAAACCTCCTCTTCCATGCTGCGCTAGAGAAAGACACACAACCAACACATTCGTCTTTGGGGATCCTTTCCTTTCAGGGGTGTCCAACCCGCAGCCCAGGGGCCACATGCAGCCCATGGTGGCTGTGAATGTGGCCCAACACAAAATCATAAATTTATTGAAAACATTATGAGATTACTTTGTTTTCGTTAGTGTTTGTGTATTTAATGTGTAGCCCAAGACAAGTCTTCTTTTTCCGGTGTGGCCCAGAGATGCTGAAAGTTTGGACACCACTGTGAGTTTAAAGCATCTTGGGCTGTTTATATCCTAACTCCTTTCCATACTGATTCTGCTAAAGCTACTAAACAAAAGCTTTGTTAAGTAAATATTAAACCTTCTGTATATTTCATACATGGATGGGCTGCTTGGTTTCAACGCAGAGGAAAAGTTTTGTCAAGGATTGGAGGTGGAATAGAGATGAACATTTCTTCATTTGAAAGGGAAGTCTTTGGGCCAAGTGCCATTAGCTGAAGGATAATAGAACACTGCAAAAATTTTTCAAGTGGAGCCAAGGTCTAAATGTGCTTCAAGCAACTGGTTGATAAAAAAACACTGCTGTTTTCCTGGTTTCAGCTCTGACCCTTTTGTTCTGAAAGTGGTCACTGCAGTCCAAATTGGTGCGCCCTCATTAGTAATTCATGCAATGTTTCTCCAGGCTACAGGGTGGAAGAATTACAGCTGCTTAAAATTTTAAGTAGAAAAGGGGCCTTTCCAAAAAAAAAAAAAAAAAAAACAACCCAGAAAACAAACCCTAGAAACATATTGCCTTACGCTTGTCAGTAATGTAAATGTGTATTGCTTAAAGTGCATTTTTCTTAATCAGTGAATTAATTTCCTCATAAGATTGCAATCCAAGTTTTAACCTTTGATACCACAAAATAAATGCAGGCAGAATCATGAGACCTTGGGGCTTCCTAATAATTTCTTGGGTGAATAAATGAATAATGTGAGGGCAAATGTTTAGAAAAGAAAGTTTTGATGAGAAATAAAGTGTTTACTTAAAACCATTACTGGACTTTCATAGAGTATAGGAAACTTTGTATTATTCTTTGTATTATCCCTACAGTATTACGAAGAATGCTGAAAATTAAAATTTTCCCTGTCCCTGCCAATAGGAGAATCCATTTGAAAATAGCTGTGTTTAACAATTTTTCTTGTGGAGAAAACTGTAATTTTCAAACAGGAAGAATAATGGACAAAGTGTTGTTAAAATAATGTTCAAAATATAATGTTCAACGATTCTAATTCACTCCAATTCAGTGAACATATCTTGAATGCCTCCTAAGTGGCAAGCACTGTTGTAAGCACAAGATAAGCATTAAATAATTTACAGGGTCCGGCAGAAGTCAGGCCTCCTTGAGTGTGGTTGGTAGGGTCATAATATGGGTGTAATAATTTATAGTTTTAATTTAAACATTTCACCTAAAATGTCGTGGTGTGCTTGAGTGTCATATTGTTATGTTACAGAATTCCATGCTTATGATTTTCTAATAAAAGATTTTGTAATAAAAAAGAACATTATTTGTGCCAGACCCTGTATATTAGCCACAGAGCCACAGAGCAATAGCATGAGCCACAGAGAGATGAATGATTTAGGAGGGAGAACAGAGGGCATTGAATATGTGTTAGATGTCAGCAGGGTATCTATCATGAGTCTTCCTACCCTCAATTCTTTGCTTAACAAAAAACTCTTCCCTTCCCATTGGAAACCCTATTATGATTCCAAACAATGGAAACCTCTCTAACTCTTCCCGAGCTTGTGTAGACATCATAAGAGGCTTCCAAGTCAGAAAGGTGACAGAGTCAAGAAGTGAGTGCTTCTGGGGAGGAAAGATTGAAGCATTCCAGAGAACGCTGGCTTCTAGAACTCAGTCTGTTATGAATCTAGTATGATTTCTTCTTTTTACCCCAGAGCCTGGGGGCTTGGCATGCAATGGATTCCAAGTTCCTTTCTCATTAAAGAGATTCCATGGTTCTGGAACGTACTGACTACCTGCTCAATAAATCCCAAATAGCGTATAAGATGCGTGAAGTTTCCCAGCTAAGGAAGAACTTGGTCCTAGAATTTATGTGTACATTTCTGGCTGGGGATTTTGTCCCACACTCCTGGGGGCAGGGCCCAGTTGGCTCATTCTTTTTTTTCTTTGCAAATTGCCCGTCAGTGGCCCCTGGTGCCAAAGAAGCCTATTCACCACTGCCCTGCCACCGCCCTTAGTCACTGTGCTAGAAGTGTGTACAGTGAAAACCACGGTAGTGTTTGTCTTCTCTCCAGATAAGAGCTGCCATCAGCCCTCCCTAATTCCTTCATAAGCACGGTAACAGCCCCTTCCCACCTCAGGACAAGGCAGGTTTGTGTATTTAGCTTTATAAAATGAGAAAAATAAAAAGACAAAGCTTAATGGCCAAATAAACATTTTAATAAGCTGTTGCTTCTGTTCAATATTTTTTCTCCTAAGATCATGCTGGTCTGTACTTTTCTCCATGGCTAATTATCACAATGTCATATTTACTAGCACTGTGCTCAGAAACTTACAGATATTCTGAAAAATAGACAATACTAGGAGTTTTCCTAATATTCATCTGGGAGACTGGGAATAAATAAATTATTTAGAGTTGCAGGTGCAAAACCACTTATGCCAAGCTATCATATAATGTTGTCCAATGTATGGAGACCATATTCAACTGCATTATTTCCCAAGCATGACTTGGTAAGAAGACATTAGATTCAATCTGTTGATCTTCAGTATGTTTTTACATCTATTCAAGCCTCAGTGTTTTGTGTTTTTTGTTTGTTTGTTTGTTTGTTTGTAAAATGAAACTTAAAAATAATACAAGATAATCCATCTAAATTTTAGGCCGTGTAGATGTCACAAATAGGTACTTAAATTCTATTATCTTTCCTTCCTCTCCTTATCTAAGTGTTGGGAAACAAGTTCAACATTAAGCCTTGTTCCAGTTATTGAAACTTCTTTGTACAAAGCTACCTTTATTTTTCTTTCTTTGCCTTAAATTCATTATTTTCTTCTGCTTAGAAGGAAAACATTCTGGGTTTCTCCACGCCCCCCCCCCCCCCCCTTAGGAAAGCTTTCTTTAAACAATTTATGTGAAATTCTGACCTCTAGTGGTTTTACTTAAAAACAACAACAAGAAATTTTAACAAGATTTGTTAAAAAGAATTTTAAAACCAGTAAGAAACATTGAGGTGATGCTCAACAATTTCTCCTGACCTTTGAAATACACTATCTTGTTTAGTTTTCACCATTGCCCTATCTGTTAGAAATTGCTTTAAACTTAAAGACAAGAAAACAGTACCAATGAGGACAAGTGGAGTGCCCAAGGTCTTTTAAGTAGATACAACACAGTCATGCAACTTGAACTTTACGCCTAGCCTTCTAGCTCCAGGTCCAGTGTCATTCCATGACTTCCTCTGATTTCTGTTAGAATCAAGTTTGAAAATACTGCCCACTGGCCCTTTTTTTGCCAAGAAACAGATAAAGCAGCACCTAAGAACCCAGAGTTCATGTAACCTCCCAGCCCAACATGATACTAGATAATAAAACATGCTAAAGGTGATAACCTGCCTCCTCTTTGGTAATTAACTCCACAGTTGCACCAGTTTCTTTGCAAATCCATGATATTTTACTCTCTTTCCTATTTTGGCTTCTGCCAGCTTTTTTGTTGAAGAACGCTTTCTTTCAATGGCATTTGTATGTCCTTTGCAATCCATCTTGCTTCTCCCTACTTCTTCCAGGTCATTTCAAACCTCTTCCCCACTTGCAGTTTGCTCCTGGCATTCTAGCTTTGTCTCTCATTTCTGACCCAGGAACTTTGCCCTTGATGTTCCCTCTGTATGGCCTAATCTTACTGCAGGTCTTCCAAATAATAGTTCATCCTCATCAGTTCAGGTTTTAGCTCAAATGCTACTTGGACCGTGAGGCCCTACCTGACTACCCCTTCACTCTCTGTCATAGTTCCCAAGACAGTTTAGTATTTTCAAGGACTTACTACTCAATGAAAATCTCTTGTGTATTTATATATTTATAGTCACTCCTAGAATGCAAGCCATTCCAGAGAATGGAGGGAATCCATTCTTGCACGTCCATCTTGCGGAGTGTGTTTTCCAACTGCCTAGAAGAGCGGCTGACACATAGCAGGTGCTCAATAAATATTTTTGGTTAAATAAATGAACCTCAGTTATCAAAGATCCCCCCAACATTTCAGCTCATGGCTCCGACCTATTCATATAATTCCTTCCATATGCCCTCCCTGTATGTCCTGTGTTTTCAGAGGAAGGGCTGCTCCTTTTATGCAAATGCTTCCCAAAGGAAGATTGATCCTGGGGGTACACTACCATTGCACCATTTCTTCGATGGTCAAAAAGTTTCCCCACCAGTGGCCACCACTTTTCTGCAAGTACGGGAGTCCCCAGGCTTCCCCAACGCCCCTGTCACAGCCTAGCCTGACCACTGACTGGACACCACTTCGCTCAGTGAGGAAGATTTTCCACTCATTGCTTCTGAGGTCACTGCAACTCCTACAGGTGGCTGTCATGACTCCTCTCCACACGCGGCCTGTGCTGGACTCAGGGGCTGGGATAGTCTCTCCCCCTGCAGCATGACTCTAGTGAAGACCTCAGTCATAGCAGCGGGGGCAGTCGTGCCAGCACGCTGAGGAGTTGCCGTTCGCCTTTGCGCTGGGTGAGTGCTTTAT